AAGGAGCCAAGAGGAGAGTTACACTGAGATCCCCTGCTGTGTGGGGCCTTGCCCTGCAGGAAGAAGCCAGACTGGCCTCCTGAAGGCCCAGTTAGCAGTCTCCTCTCTGTCTTAAATCAGGGTGGGCCCTCACCGCTCCAGAGCAGACCAGGCCCCCTTACTCTTCCATGATGCTCACTGGAGCCTGGAACTTTCATTGGTGGCGGGGGTTCTGGGGGCTAGTTAGATCTGAGGAATCGTTGCCTTCAGAGACTGAGCCACTTAGAAATGGCTGTTACATGTGAGGAAAACACAAAAGGAAAAGCGTCCTTCCGGCAGGCCTGTATAGGCAGGCAGGGGGAGTGACAGAGGCCCAAGCCTGGATATGGGGTGGCCAGTGTGAGAATCCTTGAGTATCAGCTGGAGCGTCAATTAATAGGGGATACCAGCAGTACCAGCTATAAGCACATGTACATTTTTCTCTAAACTGACTCGTATCCTCCTCCAAATGCTTACATCTTCCTCCAGAATGAGTTTACTCTTGATTGAGAAATTGTTCCCTACCCCTAGAAAACCAAGCCTTGGGGTATCATTTCATGACAATCAAAATGTCTATTATGCTCCCTATAGTTAAATTCTCCCTAAATCACAAGGCGTGGACCCAACTTCATCAGCTTGGGTCCTCATGCCCCTCATGCTGGCGGGTACCCCCAGAATGCCCCTGCAGTAGCAATTCTGTGTCACAGCCCATGGCCAGCAAGAGCGGCTGCTGCACAGGACAAGCAGATGCAAGATGGTTTGGGCACTCCAGGGCGAGAAGCCACCACTTCCCCCAGGACTACTGAAGTGTTTCTCTGTCTCCACAGATGTCTCCACTCAGTCGCTAGACAACTTAAATCCTCTGCTGTTCTGACTCTCCTCTGGGGAAATTGCAGTTTTCAGACTTTCCTCTGGAGGAAGGATCAGCCAGGGCATGAAAACCTTTCTTTTGTGGTTTCCTGACCTTTTTCCAATGCCTCTCTCTTAGCTTCAGACCATACCATGGGTGACGGAGGACTGACTGATGGTCAACAGCCAGGTTGCAAGGGCCAAAGGCCCCTTCCTATGGCTGTAACAAGGGCCTGGCTGCTCTAGCCACTTCTCCCTGCCAGGGTGCCAGCTTCATGACAGCTGAAATTGCCATCCATCTGGTTCACAGTTGAATCTCCAAAACCTAGAATAGTGTTTGGAGCATTACAAAGCCACAGTAAATACTCTCTGTTTGAATGATTACTGATGAAAGTAAAATTCTTCAAGTAGATTTAATGGTTATGAATTTTTAGATGTTAAATCAAGTAACACTGAAACACATCATCAAAAGCTATTTAAAAATAGGAGCATGTGTCCCCTCAGCAGTGTATTTCGTCGATCTGCCTGTTCTGCTCCCCACTCTGTCTCTGGTGAATCCTCTCACCCTCTGCATCTCTGGCCTGTACCTCAGTTCTGTACGAATAAATAAATAAATCTTTAAAAAAAAAATAGGAGCATGTGATGAATGATAAACTCAGATAAATGTTAAACATGGGTAGGTAAAATATCCTCTTAGAGAAATTGATGGACTGAGTAGGCAAAATATAAATGAGGATATAGAATAGCTGAATAATGACAATTGTAAGCTTAATTTAGTATGCCTATGGGACATTTATAAAAACTAAGCATCTACTAGGCCATAAAGAAAATCTCTGTAAATTAACAAAAAGTAGAACACATTGTTCTTTTTTGTATATAACTTGTTCCTTATAGAAGTAATTTTAGGGTTAAAAGAATTACTATGTGAACAACTATAACAGATATCAGAAATAATAACCAATACACAGTAATGTTGGTGATGTTACTATGTAATGCATGAAAAATATTTCAAAACTCAGAGTAAACCATATTTTCATGTGCTTAGATGATAAATATAAACTAGGACTGACCAGCACATATTCCTCCCAGAGCAAAAACGATATTTAAAACAAAAGTAATCTCTGGTTTCTTCCCACTCCCTGCCCCCTGTTCTGTTGTTTTAGGTTCCCCAAACTACAAATTTCAAGTTTACACAAATCCTCAAAGGACATTTTCTTTCTACACTATTAATATTCTTTTGTTCCTTCCTTTTCCTTCCCACCGTCATCCCTAGTACCCTTTTGACATTTCCTGCCTTCCTCTTAACCTTACTTCAGTTATTTATGTCTACTAGTTTATCATTTTTTGCTTTGTCAGTTCATCTACTATGACTCCTTGTCATACTCTTATATGTGACAGTATCCAATATTTGTCTTTATCTTCCTGGCTTCATTTCTCCTAACCCCCTCAATTTCCTTCCATTTCTGTAAATGATATTTCATCTTTCCTTATAGCCAAACAGTGTTCCAGTGTGGATATACCACATCTTCTTTGCCCAATCCACTGTAGGTGGGCACTTAGGTTAATTCTATGTCCTAACTATTACCAATAGAGCTGCAATAAACATTTGAGAGCATAAAATTTTTTGAACTGGTGACTGTATTCTTTGGCTAGCTACCAAAAAAAAAAAAAAACAGTATTGCTGGATCATATGGTATTCCAATTTTTAGTTTTTTAGGGTGAATCCAGACTAAGTTCCAAAATGATCTCACCACTTTCCATAGTATTAGGGCTCCTCTTTCTCCACCCCCTACTTCTACACACATGGGATGGTATCACTGTGGTTTTGAGGTGCATTCCCTTGTTAAAAGGGCTGATGAGCATTTTTTTCATCTACCTGTTGGACTTCTGTGTCTCTTCTTTGGAAAATGTCAATTCACGTCTGCTGCCCATTATTTAATTGGGTTGCTTTAATTATTGGTTAGTTGGACTAATTCTTTGTAAAACTTGGCTACTAACTCCTTGTTGGTTATGTGATATGTAACTAGCTTCTCCCATTCATTAGGATGTCTTTTTCATCTGCTAATGTTTTCTCTCACTTTGTAAAAGCATGTTAGTTTGAGGTAGCCCCAATTGTTTATTTTTGTTTTTATTTCCCTTGCAGTAGGGGTCAAGTCCCCAAAGATATCTCTTTTATTATCATCACATAACATGTCACCAATGCTTTCTTCCATGTATCTTATGGCAGCAGATCTTATAGCTAAGCTTTTAATCCATTTTGAATTTGATTTCGTATATAGAGGTAAATAGTAATCCAACTTCATCCTTTTACATGGGGCCTCCAGCTTTTCACGTATCACTTGTTAAAGAGACTCTCCTCTACCCATGTATGCTTATGGATTTTTGGCATCAACTAGGTGTTTATATATGCATAGATTTACTTCTGGGCTTTGGATTTTGTTCCATTGAGCCATGTGCCTGTTTTTATTCCATTTTTAACTACTGTTATCTTTTCATATAACTTTAAATTAACCAGATGCCTCCATATCACTTGTGTTTTTCCAGACTTACTTTAGTTACTCAGAGTCTTTTATGGCATTATATAAATTTTAGTATATTTGGTTCTATTTAGGACATATTATTTAATAAATGATTTCAAAAATAAATAAATAAAAATAAAAATGTCTCCCAATCTTACAAAACTCGAAAGCCCTTAACCCTTCAACTACAGACTAAAGTCCTGTCAGCCAAAACCCTAATAAAGAAGAGCTTTCCACTCTGGACCAAACCTTTGCTGTAAGCAACTAGAAAACTGGAGAGAATACATGAAACACTTGTTTCCAGACACAGGACTATAGGTAGGGCAAAACTTTTCTGTCCAATATGTCTCTCTAATGAGAGACCTGAAGAGCCCACAAACCCCCAGTTCTGTCCTGGGGCATCTTTCCAGCCCATGGTGCAGGGACAAGAGTCCCACACCAGACATGATTGTCTCACTAAACTGGGGAGAGAGAGGTGGGTCTTGGGAGAGTGAGAGCGTAAGCATTTGGAGGCTGAGTGTAAAGGGAAGTTATGCAAAGAAAGAGCCTCGGAAATCTGCCTGGGACTCCTTGTACATACAGGAGATGCAACCCCAGGGCAGTGTGGAGAGCTGCTCTAGAAATACTCTTTCCAAGCTGAGCCAGCAGAAGCTGAGTCCTGACAGGCCAGAGGCCAAAGCCAGATATAGGACTCTCAAGTTAACAGACCGAAGATAAGGCCAGCCTCTGAGAAAACGATGGCTTTGGAGTGGCTTAATGGGCTGGAATATTCTATCTCTAGCCAGCCCCAACTGCAACAAGGGAATGAAGGGAGTGCTGGGATGGCTGTGACTTCCTGGGACGTTGTCACCCTAGCAAAATCCCCACAGTTTGTATTCAACCTCTGTTGGTTTTCAAACACAAATTAAACATTCCCAGCTGTAAAGTCCCTAAACAAAGATATGCAGGGCAGAAGGGGTGTGAGGAAGTAGAACCAGCCCAAGGAGAAGAGACTGTGGTGGTTGTCATGAACACAAGTACAAAGTTGTGGCTCATTCTACAAGTTATTTATTGAGGCCCCATGTCTGACTGGCCTGTGCTGTTCACTGAAGGGGAAACAGAGGCATGGCAAGGCTTTCGCCTTGAGAAGCCCTTGCCATGCTGGCTCAAATGAAGAAAACACATTTGAAGAATTTTTTTTTAAGATAGGGCGGGAGATATAAAAAGCCAAGAGAAAAGCACTGGAGAAAAAGCTGAGTTCAGAGACCTCAAAGGTGTCAGATGGAGAAGGGCCCACAGCAGGCTGAGGTGGTGACCTCTCAGCTCTGGCTAGCCACGTCCTAGCCACTGGGCTTCTTGCAGATCCAGGGATAGAGGGAGTCACAGAAAATGTCATTCCACTTCTGCTGAATTTGGACACAGTCTTCAGTCCTCCCATCTGCATGTTTCCAGTTGTCTGGCTGATTTCTGCCCCAAAACCTGGAAACAAGAGGGCTTTACTCTACTAGATGAAGGAGGCATAAAGAGCAGCAGAATAAAGAGCTGGAGTGACATAGATCCCTCACCCCCTGCAGGTCCCAGATGGGGCAGAGCTAGGGCCAGGGGTATCCTGAGGCTGGCTCTCTGAGCTTGGCCTTAGTTACTATGGGAAGGGTATCTGAAGCTACAAGCTCCCACCCCAGAATCCACACTCACATGCCTCCTGACAGGGCAGCAACCCTTGGGACAAGGAAAAGTAGGCATAAGATAGGCAAAACAAACAAACAAAAACAACAACAAAACAAAACCCAGCAGCAACAAAAGAACCAAGAACACCTGTTGTTGGGCTGTCTACCAGTCCCAGAACCTGTCTGTTCTCACTCCCTGCTCTGGGATGAGGGGGTGGTGGGAGAGGAGGAGGATCAGAATTATGCCCATGTGCACACACACACCACTAACACTTCCTGGGCAAAGATGGACACGCAGGACAAGGACATACAAGAGTCTCCAGCCAGGCCTCCCAAGACAGTGCCGGGATGGCACTAGATGGGACTGGACTCACCCTCTGCTCTGGGCATTATTGAATGGCGTCCCATCTACCCAGCGCCAGAAGCCCTCTGTGCCTCTGTCGGTGAGACCAATCCAGTGGTTAGAGGTTTGTGTGAACTTGACCAGAAATGCCTGCAGAGAAAAGGCAGTGCGGTGTGAGGCTGTGTGGGGGGCTGACTCTCCCACACACCCAGGAAATGTCCAGGCTGCTCCCTCGCTGGTCCAGGAGCACAAAGTCCCCTCCCATGGGCTTTCCATGGCTGTGGAGGGTCTAGGGCTTTCTCCTTGCTGACATGATGACAAGTGTGATTTTACTAAGATAGAGACAGAACGGTTCATACAGGTGTGCCTTGCAAAATAGCGTGTCCTTAGCAGATATATGAGGACAGTCCAAGGAGAGCTACATGGGTTAGGGCAGTGTTGAGAGTGGACTGGACCAAACCTACTGTGGTCTTTGCCAATAATCCTAGTCTCTATGAGGGCAGAATGGACCACCAGGGACTGGAGTGACTTTGGCGGTCCCCGAGCTCATGTGTGTGTCTGGCCTTCCTGAGAAGCCTGGGTCTCCTGCTCGTGGGCACTGCATTGCACTGGATGAGCTGACGTTAAAACCCAGATTGACAGCAGCAGAGGAAGCGTGAGAGGATAACAAGGGGCCGGGAGGAAGCTCAGCAAACTAAGGGCAGTCTGCTGCACCACCCCCTCTACCCCTCCTCACCGTTGATATCTGGGGGCCTCTAGGTATCTGCCATATTTATTGAGGACATTGGGATTTTCTGTCAGTGCCTCTATTTCATTAGGACCCAATAAGTATTGGGTCTGCTCCCTGACTGACAGAGGAGGCATGGTAATTCTCTGCTATACCCTTTCTGAGAAGAGAAGGTCAATGCACCACAATCCCATGTTCCACACCAACCTCCCCAGCACCACCCAAGCCACAGCGCTCACCTGTTCCTCTACAG